CTATCTATCTATCTATCTATCTATCTATCTATCTATCTATCTATCTATCTATCTATCTATCTATCTATCTATCTGCCTATCTATCTTCTTGGGAAGGCCCATGGGAGGTGGAGGGCCTCCAGGGTCACCTCTGCCTTTCTCCTCTCCCCTCCAGCAGACCCTCTGCCCACCCTCGAAGGGCGGCACCAGCCCCTCCACTGCCTTGGCCCCGAGAAACCCCCCCTGAAGGAGCTGAACAGGCCCTGGAAGAAGGAGCTGCTGTTCCCCAAAGGTACCCAAAGTGATCCTGCTTCTTCCACGGGCAGCCTAAAGTAAAGGAGTAGTAACTTCCCTGTTGCCTCAGCACAGGGAAAGGTTCAGAGGAAAAACCCACCGGAGCCAAGCCAGGGTCCATTAGGGCTTCAAGGCTGCTCTTGGAAGGGCACAGAGGAGTTTTTGCATGCGGTGAGCCTCGCGGATCCATGGTGGTTGGTCCCCACAGGTGAAATGATCTAAAGGAGGCAGATGGCAAGGAAATCTAGCGGAGACCGATCCTGTTGCTGATGTAGATTTCCCTTCCCCCCACAGAGCAGAAAGATGGAAGCCTCACCGGTGGACTGGCAGCTTCGGAGGCCAAGCTTGCTGGGCTTAACAGCAAAGCCTTGCTGACCGACTCCTTGTTGCAGAGAAATGAGGTTGAGAAGCAAAAGTACGTGAGTATGGGAGGTGAGGATGGGAAGGTGGACGGGAGAGCTGCTCCCGTCAAAGGAAAACGTATCACAAAATATAAGGACAGGAGGTGGTTTTAAGTCCAGCCTTCCCTGAAATTTTAGGCTCCGCCTTCTCCTTCTTCCGCCAAGATCTAGAAAGGTTGCTTTTCAGCTCCATGGTCTTCCTTGCATCCACATTTATGGTGCCTGAGGATTTAGAAGGAAAGACCAATTTTTATGTAAAAAGCCCCCGTTCTTCCTCAGGGAGCTCCAAAGATCTTGGAAAACCATTCCTCTACCAATTCATGAGACTCAATTGAGGCCTCATCATATACTAATAAATAATAAGACCCATGAATCAAAATCGGTCAACGTTGGGCCCTTTGGACAGCCTCCTCCTTTTAATTCCTTCAAATCGAAGATGTTCTCTAGATGTTCTGCAAAACCAGCTTCCTCCGTCAAATAATTGAAGCCAATGGAGAGGTTGACTCCAAGGGGATGGACCTCAGGCTGGAGAAGGTTGCTTTCTTCTGGGCTTTGATGGGGGTGCCAGGTCAACTCAAGGAGTTACATCCCTTGTCTTAGGGGCCTTCAAGAAGCGCAGTTCACTTTGGCCAGCCGGCTGGGCGAAGCAGAAGAGAAGATCAAAGTCTTGCATTCAGGTACTTTTAAAGATCGATGGAAACCCAGTTGAAGATGGCAGGAGCACTTCCCGTGGCTTCCTCCTGGGCCATGTTAATTCTTGGTGGGCTCAGGCATTTGTGAAGCTCAGCATGGCACCTTCTGTTTGCTCCATTTAGCTCTTAAGAAAAAGCTGCTTGTGAGAGCTGAGTCCAATTTTCTTCCCTTCTCTGATGTCTGCTGTTTTCTCTCAGACATCGGAGCGATGGCCAAACTCCCTTTTTCCTTCAGTCTCTCAAACCTTTCCCTTTTTCATGACATCCAGCCCTTACCTGAAATTAGCATTTGGCTCAGCCAGGTTGAGTCAGCCTGAAAGAGAATTAATTAGTCAAACTAACTTGAATAAGTGTCACAATCTCTCTCAAACCACCATCTTAAAAGGGAGCAACGCAAACCAGGATGCCACGTGGCAAATGCCAGGATCATTGGCAGAACTTCTGCTCAATTTTAAGTCTCTGGGTTGAGAAAGACGTCAACTGGTGGAGCCAACAAGTTTACGAATATTTCCTTCCCCCCCCCCTAATTATCCTATCATCCAGTTGATGACGGAATATTTACTAGCCCCGAGTAGCATTCTTTAAGTACAATCCCCTGGACGTACCTGTCTTACGCTTCGTTTTTCTGTTCTCCCCCTTGCTGGCCAGCACTAAAGGCTACCCAGACGGAACTGGTTGAGTTGCGATGTAAATATGACGAACAGGCAGCTTCCAAGTAAGTTGGTTTGTCCGTTTGTTCTGTCCAGTCAGAGTTGGCTTGTCCTTATAGCTTATGTCTCCCAATCGGGTTGTGAGGGTTGCCTGGTGTCAAAATAGGAGAACCTTTCGATGAACATTTGAAAAGGGCTTCACAAATAAAGAGAGGCTTAAGAAATTGTAGAAGAAACGTTGCGTATGTGCTTGGTTTCTTTCCTCCCGGCTTCCAAATATTTCCAGCATCCTCAACTGATGCTCTGTCATAACTACGATTCCCCGCTGTTCTCTTCTCTCGTACGTGACGGTGCTAAGAACTCTTAATCGCATCATAGGGAACCAGGTGGGCTTTGATCCTCTCGTGGGCACCTTCCTGGCCCCTGGTGTGAAATAACGTTGCCTTTGATCAAAACCGGAGGGCGTGGAAAGAGAAGTGGGGCGGGCAGGCATTTCGCTGCTGCTTTCCATCCCTTTTCAAGGTGAAAGAAGAAAAAGACCCCCGGGGCCTTTTGAGGTTCATGCACTTCCCACCCACCACCCCACTATCTAACACTTAAGTCACCGAGTAGCCAGATTCGCTGGAGACTTAAACAAGGGCAGGTCAAAATCTCCGGATGTTTGCTTTTCCCATGACAATCTGAGGGCCGCTTTGGCTTGGTTCATGCTTCTTTGCCCCTTAATGGGGGCATCTACTCCTACTTGCCCTTGTAGATGCTCCGGAGGTCAACCGTAACTCTTGTCTTCTTGCCCTAGGACAGAGGAAGTGGCCATGATCATGACAAATCTCGAAAAAGCCAACCAGGTGAGCGACAGGCGGCCGTGGGCTGAAGGCCTTTTGGCTGGTCAATGAAAATGACTTGAAGGTCTCAGGAAATGGAGGGTCGGTTCCCATCCCAAGTTCTGATGGCTCTGATTCTCCTCTTTTCCAGAGAGCTGAGGCTGCCCAGAGGGAGGTGGAGAGCCTGCGGGAACAGCTTGCTACTGTAAACAGCTCCCTTCGCTTGGCTTGCTGTTCTCCCCAAGGACCAAGTGGGGTGAGGACCAGAAGGGGATCCTCATCATCAGTCAAAACAGGGAAAGCGGGCTCCCAGGGGAATTTCCAGAGGCACAAATCTTCCATTTCCAGACTCCTCCTCATTCTACGACGTCTGGGTTGCGGACCAGGCTAATCTAACGCTGAGGGACGCTTTAGCTTGGGTGTTGGCTTCCAAGTCTTAAGCTAGGGGGTCTGGCCCGTTTGCTGCTAGCGTCTTGGGTCTACCTTCAGTTTTAGAAGAGGAGCAGCTGATAGGAAGTCTCCGGTTTGCTCTCCGTTGAGAAAGCATCCCGTGAAGATAGGGATGATTCTAGTGAGGGTTTAGCCAGAAGCCGAGACCTCAAGCTGGTTTGTTTTGGTGCGCGGACATGTGTCTTTCACAATGATGCATGAAACGGTCTGCCTGGAATTGACCCAAGAGAGAAAACAAACCAGGATGTAGTCCTTGTTATTTCCAGCCAGAGAAACCCTCAGAATGAGTAGATCCTTCCTTTGAGATGCCTTCTTTCTGTAGGACAAAGTGAATTATTCTTTGTGCCCGGGTCCACGGCTAGAGGCTGCCTTGGCCGCCAAGGATCGGGAAATACTTCGACTACTCAAGGAAATTCAGCATCTGCAAAACTCCATGCAAGAAATAGAAGATTCTTCGGCCAATCAAATTGCAGACCTGGAACGGCAGTTGGCAGCCAAAAGCGAGGCCATCGAAGTGGGTATCGTTTCCGTGGCATTTCCCCAAGAATCGGGTGTGTGGGGTGTGTGTGTGGAATTAAATAAAATCCTTCCTCTTCCACCTCCCTGAAGGGAGTCGGATAAATTTTCCAAGGATTAAAATGGGACGGAAGGATTTCCCACCTGTTTTAATCTTGGCCAAATCACCCAATTACCTACTTCGTCCCATCACTTTAGTTAAAGGTGAATGCAGGGTTTTGTGAATAGTTGCCACCGTCTATAACAGGGGTGTCCAACCTTGGCAACTTTAAGACTGGTGGGCTTCAACTCCCAGAGTTCCTCAGCCAGCTTTGCTGAAGTTGAAGTCCACCAGTCTTAAAGTTGCCAAGGTTGGACACCCCTGGTCTGTAACACACACGCAACACTTTAATAATTTTTGAGCTGGGCTACGTAAAAGGTGGAAGAAAGACGTGCCTTTCTTTTCGTCTTTGAGATTTGTTTCAGTCCGCAGACTTTTGCCTTTGAATCGGGATTTTTAAATATTTCTCTGTCTTTGTGTCTCTCTCTTTGCGCTTGTGTGTCCTTTAGAAGTTGGAAGAAAAACTTCACGCTCAATCAGACTACGAAGAGATCAAGACAGAACTGAGGTAGGACTCCGCCTTTCCTTGGGTTGTATCGATGGTCCGTCTCTCTGTAGGAGCTCCTGGCCAGCCGTGCCTGTGTGGTGGGCCAGCTCCCCTCGTGTGCAAAGCTCCATTTGCACGAATGGAGCCTTGTGCACAAGTGCTCTCGGCTCTCAAGCACTCTCCAGCCGCGTGCAAAACCCCATTCACGCAAGCACAAAGGGAGCTGGGTGTGCGTACCTGCCCCTCGCACACCCCACACGCCCCTGTGCCATGCCAGGCCACCCAGCTGGGAAGGTTGGGGGCCCCTGGGGTAGATGGACGTGTTTCTCTCTCGGTGCTTGGGACGGCCTGCAGAAGTGACCCAAGCTTTGCACGTGAGATTTGGGGTGGATGAAGAGGACGAGTGGCAGGCCACAAGGGAACGTCCTTCCCTGCTTTATATCTTCAAACAGAGCTCGGCAGAAGAACCGGGCACTCGGACTCTGCCCGGAGGCTCTTTTTAGCTCCTCATTCTCACCCACCTCTTTTTTTTTTATTTCTTCTGCAGCATTTTGAAAGCAATGAAGCTGGCCTCCTCCGATTGCAACCTGTCCCAGGTAAGTTGGAAGCCTTCCCGACAGGTGCACACACACACACGCGCCTTAGCTTCAGCCTCGATCAGGTTATGCTGCAGTGGGCACTGGCTGCTCTGTTTCTGAAAAGTGTTTGCCGGCCGTCAGAGGTCCAGAGAGCTGAGATCAGGATTATCCAGCATGGGAAATCAGCACTTTGAGAAACTTCCCATCAATTGAAATACAGAACCTTCCCTGGCTTCTGAATATTTCCGGGCAGGGTGCAAGGAAGGAAGGAAGGAAGGAAGGAAGGAAGGAAGGAAGGAAGGAAG